TAGCGTCTTGTTTGCAGTCACTCTCTAACAGACGCGCCGTGGCTCTCTCTGTCTTTTTCTACAAATACTTCCATGGTAACTGCCTGATGAGCTGCTCTCTGGTTCCCAGACTCCATGAATTCAAAAGCGCCCTCACGAGGCTGGCATCCCGCTCTCACCCTTACACCGCAGAAACCTTCAAATGTAGCCATCTCTTCTACTCCAATAGCTTCATACTCGCACCTCTCGCCAGTGGAACACCCTCCCCAATTACTGTTTCCCTGAAAGCTATAATCTCCAACTATTCAAATGTAATGTCAATCGACACTGGTGGAAGAAGATGAGATAGAGAAGATAAAACATATGATTGAATTGACGTTGTCGCCCTAAGACCACTCCCAACAAGGGGCTATGCAATAGATAAGATTGAGGTGTCGCCCTAAGACCACTCCCAACAAGGGGCTATGCAATAGATAAGATTGAGGTGTCGTCCTAAGACCACTCCCAACAAGGGGCTATGCAATAGATAAGATTGAGGTGTCGCCCTAAGACCACTCCCAACAAGGGGCTATGCAATAGATAAGATTGAGGTGTCGCCCTAAGACCACTCCCAACAAGGGGCTATGCAACAGATACGATTGAGGTGTCGCCCTAAGACCACTCCCAACAAGGGGCTATGCAACAGATACGATTGAGGTGTCGCCCTAAGACCACTCCCAACAAGGGGCTATGCAATAGATACGATTGAGGTGTCTAAGCCCTAAGACCATTGACTCCCAACAAGGGCTATGCAACAGATACGACTGAGGTGTCGCGCTAAGACCACTCCCAACAAGGGGCTATGCAACAGATCCGATTGAGGTGTCGCCCTAAGACCACTCCCAACAAGGGGCTATGCAACAGATACGATTGAGGTATCGCCCTAAGACCACTCCCAACAAGGGGCTATGCAACAGATACGATTGAGATTTATAATTTTACTATTTTTCAATTTTTTTACTCTTTAGGAACCATAAGTTAAAGATGGTTGATTAAAAACAGATCACTAATCTCTTTAATTTTCTTCTTCTATGTACATTTCCCTTCTTGAAGAATCAAGTACATGGAAATAGCTAAGAAACAGTCTTTGGGGCTCTTGCTTATTGAGATTTGAATGTCAGGTCCAATGTTATTCAATCATTTCCAAGTAAAACTCCTGACTTTCAACCATGCAAGAAACAAGTTACAAGCAATGCCAATTAAAAATGTCAAATGCTATCTTGCTACTCTCAAAACTACCTGTTGCACTAAGCTTTGTGGATTAAAAGCTGTCTCTTTACTAAATTGCTGACATTGTACTAAACTGTTCAATCCACAAGATTTGCCCTTTCTTGAATCCAATAATGTGTTAATTACTTGAATTTTGTAGAATAAGCACTTTTTTTTTTATTGGTAATTCATCAGAATTTTTTATCTTCTTATTAATAGTGGTCATGTTAAAACAAGAAGAAAAATAAATAATAAAAAAGCAGAGAAACAAAAAAAAATAATGATAAAACTGCTTTTAGTTAATTGTGTTTTGATATAACCACTTTACGATAATGTGAATTTTTTTTGTTATACCTCTTTTTTTGCCAAACTTTCTTCTTGTTTTCCCATACCCACTTTTATCGCTATTATTAAATTCTGTATCCCATCTTTTTATTGTTGCTTTTTATAATGAAATTAATACCGTGAATATATAAAAGGGTTGACAACTTTGCAATGCCACCATACATCATCATGCATATCTCATGGAAAGCCCTGATAGCAGCAATGACTATGATAGTCTGGGAATGTATCATTTGGGCAACACTTGATTGCCAAAAATCACACTGTATGGTGAACTAAAGTGCAGGAAGGAATGAAATAGCTGTCAAAGTCAGCTTAAAGACTTCAAGAGGAGACTGCAAAATATCCTGCAGGGTTCCAAAGGCTTCATGTTGGAGTAGTAACAATTGAAGCATTGAGACTGCTCAGTTACCAATGGGCATACACCCAGATATATGACTGTCATGCAATTCTAGACCTAGATGAATCTAATTTTTCATGTCTTTGATTAATACAATGGGCAGTCAATGATGATTTGGTTTGGTTTACAGCATATCAACCTCAATGGCTTATTTAATGCTGACAAAATTTTTATTGCTGGCAATATTTTTTTCAAAAATATAGCTGATAATTTTTTTTTTTTTTTTCAAAATGTATTACTAATATTTTTTTCAAAAATGTATTGCTGGTAATAATTAATTTCTGGTATTAAAACCTATTTTTACATTTTCATAGTGTTTTAAGCCCAGTTTGGGAGTTAATTATTTGCCCATAGCTGGAACCCGAACAGGTGCTACCACCCCAGGTTAGGGTGGGCCTGGGAACACCAGCAATTTAAAGATGGTTCCATACTCCTCAAAACTTTCTGATCAGTTGGATCCTGTTGGATGTAGTTTATCGTCATACTCAGGACAGGATGATGATGATCATCATCATAATCCTAATACTTAGGACATTTGAGATTTTGTTCCAGATGCAAATAAAATGAGTGACTCCGTAATGCTCCAGTAAGTACCTGACTCTGCATGCTATCCTTTACCTTTACAAGGACCAGATCATGCCTAAAATGGAGTAGCATTGTCATATTTGGGCAGTTCCTGCCCAAGCTTGAAATGGTCCAATGTGTCTCCGAGTTCTTCTTGCAGTGACAAATTATTTTTCACCCTTCAATCTCTTTCTCGCAAGCAAGATATGGCAAGCCTCTCACTGCTCTGTTGCTCCTTCCATAGAAAGTGCTCAGACAAACTACATTCCTTGGTTCCGCCAGTTCTAACCGTCATGGCTAGGACCCACCATGCCACTCACATTTTAGCAAACCATCTAGATTCTCTCAATGTTCTATTGGTGAGAAATGTTCCACTTGAACTACTGCTCTGTGGAACCAACTCCCAAGAGGATGTTTCCCCAATCACTACAATCTTAACCTGTTCAAGTTTAGTGTTAACTGTTATCTTCCTCTTGTATCCGCATAAACTGCCTCTTAATATAACCCTCTACCTTGAGTGGCTCTATGGCCTTGTACAGGGTTAACCTTACTTTAAAAAAAAAAAAAATAAATGAAATATGACATTGAATATTGGACAATTTCCTTACAGATTATTTACACTATTTACATTGTTCAAACTGTTGTCATATTCATGACATTTTGACCGTTGTATGCTCCAGCCTTCTTCAGGTGATTGGAATTTCGAACTGAACCCTTTATTTTTATTTTGACAACAGGGGTAGATTGTTCTAGTTCTTCATGCCATGCCTCTTCTGATGACTTAGTATCATTGATCACTCCAAGCAGGTACTGAACTTGCATTGCTTTGGGTCAAGTCACTGGATTCAATCAAAGCTTTTATCGACTGGACCATGTGTCCTTGTATGGATTTTTGGGGGGGACTTCTAAACCCAATGTCTCAGTCACCATTTTTTGGGGGGGACTTCTAAACCCAATGTCTCAGTCACCATTTTTTGGGGGGGACTTCTAAACACAATGTCTCAGTCACCATTTTTTGGGGGGGACTTTAAACACAATGTCTCAGTCACCATTTTTGGGGGACTTCAAACACAATGTCTCAGTCACCATTTTTTGGGGGGGACTTCTAAACACAATGTCTCAGTCACCATTTTGGGGGGACTTCTAAAACACAATGTCTCAGTCACCATTTTTGGGGGGGACTTCTAAACCCAATGTCTCAGTCACCATTTTTGGGGGGGACTTCTAAACCCAATGTCTCAGTCACCATTTTTGGGGGGGACTTCTAAACCCAATGTCTCAGTCACCATTTTTGGGGGGGACTTCTAAACCCAATGTCTCAGTCACCATTTTTTACCTGAGTTTATATTACAGATGAAGAAGAGACTTGCAGTTACAGAGGTATTTTACTAGCAAATGCCGAAATATACCCTGGAGAGGGCATATGAGTTATGAGGAAGTTTTAAGAAAAATAGGAACTATTAAGAAACTTTCTGGAGCACATAAGGAAATAACGTCTAGACAGTTCACTTGAGAGGGATGTTTTTTAAAAGATTTTGTAGATTAACACTAAGAATTTTCTTAAAACACTACTTTTTTCAAAATAAAAAAACAGATTTTTTTAATAATCATTTTAGCATAACACTAGCAGCATGGCCCGGCATTGCCCATGCTTGATTCAAAAATTGTACGACTCATAGAGCAATCGCTATCACTTGACTTAAAATATTAAAGCAAATTTTTCCTAAGCTCTATACTAAACATTAAATCTGTTACGAAAAAAGAACTAAACAAAATGAACACAAAACGATCAGCTTTAAAAAAAGGACTCGTAACTGGAAAAACCGAATGAAAAAAGAATGTTAACAACAATACTTTTTCACACCCAACCCAGTTTTTATGGAATCAGAATCAACGTTGGGTTTAAACAGTTTAATGAGCCAATTGGAGTAAAGTGCCATGCAGATTTAAATTTTTTCCACTTGTGACGAATGCAGCTATCGATTTTTTTTGCATGCTAGCATGCTAACATTCGTGTCAGTCAGCTGTTGGCTCTCATGCTGGCCAATAGAATCTTCCTGGCTATTTGTGGCAGCCAGCTATAGGTTCTCACTCTGGCCAGTACAAAATGGCCGCAAACTACATAAAAACTGCCGTAAAAGCATGAAAAAATTGATTGTTTCCACTATCGATGGGAGTCGGGAAATGCAAAGTCGGTCTTAGCCTTCCCGCTAACTTGGAGCATGTGCAAGTAAATTTTGGTGCAAATCTGTTGAAAATTGTGGCCGTGCATTCATTACACACACACACACACACACACATCCTGCCTTTTATAGATAGAGATAAAGATAGTCTCAAATCAATCCTCTGCTTCATAAAGAGTTATCTGTACTCTGTTTTTATTTACAAATATCCAGTTTGAAACTATGCTTATATCATTGTAAATTATCAATTATGTAAGCAGTTCCTAACATGACATTTGTAGGCTTATGGCCACATCATGTTGAAACACTGATTCCTGTATGTTCACCAAAGTTAAGCAATGTTGAGCCTGGTCAGTACCTAGATAAGTAACTACTTGGGAATACCAAGTGCTGTAAGTTTGGAAGTGTGGGTAATGTAATGGATAATGGCATGGAATTATTAATCAGAGAACCAAGTTCCAATTCCGGTTGGGTTCGTTATATTCACTTACATGCAAATATTTCTGGGAAAGGTATGAATCTCCAAGTGGTAAGATTTGTATCACTAAAACCATTATTTGTATACATTTAAATGTTATGAAATAAAACCATAGAATTTTAAAAAATACACACACAAATATGAACTTACTTTATTTTAATGTTTCTATTCAACTGTTTGTGCAGCTTATTTAGTGTTAAAACCATGCCTAGTGTTTTTTTTTGTTCTTTTTTTTTGCAATTTCTTCAATGTTTGGTCAAATGTGCAATAAGCAGACACTCATTTCTTCTTCAGTTGAGTGTAGTCTTTCTCACTTCTTATTTTTTATGTTTATTTTTTAGTTTGAGAAGCCTAATTCACATAAATAAGTAGAAAATTACAATAAAACTGATATGACTCTTTTAGCTAATGTGGAATAAAAATTTTAACACATATTCATTTATTCAAATACTAACCCTATACCATTACTACTTTCATACACACACACACACGTGTGTGTGTCTGTATGTATGTATGCCTTGACAATATTGCTGCAATATGTTGTTTGAGAATCACTGCTCTATTGATATTACTAGCAGTATAACCCGTCTTCGACCGAGTGTTTCATTACTGGGAATTTTTGCCGTTCAATTGGAGCAGTTTAAGTTTAAAGTCAGCACACCCGAAAATCAATATTAGTAACAACAATTAGGTGCAACTGAGGCACATCCCCCAAATTGGGGTGGTAACCATTTGAATGGTGGTTATCCCTGAAAAGCGAACTGTATAATAATAAATAATACTATTGTAAAAATGTAAACTATTTATTTTTATTAAAGTTTTTATGAAGATATATATCCAAGAACAGATAGTAAATAGTAAAACATTGCTGAGAGTTATAATGGACAGGAAGTAGTGGAGAGCCATTGTCGCCAACAATTTGGACTCAAAACTGGCACTGAAGAGTTATCTATCAAACAAAAAAAGATTTCATTGAAATTGGATGAAAACTGTGGAAACACATAAACAACATCCAATCACAGACAGACAGACAGACAGACAGACATTTTGAGAATTATAGATATAGATAGATGCACAAACCCAACTTCTAAAATGATTAGAAAAAAAAATATCAATATTTTTTGATTCTGACAAATGTGGCTTATAGTGGGACTAATGAATGCTAACGGATAAAATTTGTTCTCAAAAGGAGAAAGATGACGGTACCAAGAAACAGTCATCCACCAACGTTAGATATTGTAAACATAAATCTGAGAAGAGATTTTGTTTTGATTTGAGAATGCAATGCACTAAGAGAAAACAGATGCAAAGAAGTGAAAGCAGGGAGCATCAATGTGCCAAGGCAGACAGCCGAGTGGTAAGGAGGCAAAACAAAATGAGTAGGCAGAGAGCAAAAGATCTCTTTTGCTTCTGCTCATTTCGAGATTAATTACAATGTATTTACTATTTGTTGCATGGATGCGCGGGTGTCGTAAATGATAGCAGCAAGGAATGAAAAACTGGAGAGCCGAGTTCAAATTCCAGTCGAGGCTGGTTTGAATTCCAAGTTTTCCTTCTCCTTGTCTAGTTGACAACAATAGTTATAGTATGCAGCCTGTCCTGCTATTTACCCCTTGCTGGGGAGAGAAGAGATGGATTCTTATCTTTCTCAAGGGTATTTGTGTGTAAGAGCATGTAAAAATAACTCAATTGGAATTTCAATCTGCTATCCCAATATACCACTTGCACATAAGTATTGAATGCATTGTAAGTAACCAGGAAATGGGCAGAAGCAAGCTAGCATTGGTTTGTGAATTTGGTGACAGTAATTATGAGTTCAATCCCTGGGTTTAGTAGTGTGTACCTAGACTTGGTGGAAACAGGGTGTACAATAACTAAGCAGTATGAAAAATAAGAACGAGGCAATATATTTTGAGATCTGGACAGTGAAATGGGAACAGTCTATCATGATAGATTAAATAAAGGGTTCAATTTGAAATTCCTTAAGATTGCTCAGATCAATATACACCTGAAGGCTAGAGGCATAATAGCCAAAATGCTATAACAACAACAACAAAGATGAGGATAATAGTTCACATGTAAATAATGATAATCCATTCCAGAAACTTGGACAGAAATCCTTACCTAAAGTTGACAAATGAACCCAGAACTATCAAAGCACCAAATACCATTACATCATCAGATTTTCCATCAAGCTAATCTAAAAAATGATCTACAATGTGTTGTTAAATGGGGCAAGAAATGGTTTGCTAATTTTAATGGCTTCAAAACAAAACTGCTCTCTTTCTTCAACTTAGAGATCTTTTTGACCTTCCATCAGTATGGCTGATGCTAACCACCAAGAAAGTGACTCATTGTGACTTCTCAGGTTTACAGAATCACTTGCTAGGTCTGCTGCTATGAAAGTTGGTTCACTATGACATTTTAGATAGATTTTACACATTTATAAATCTACGATCATATCCATGCATTGAATATTGCTGTCACACCTGGTCTGGTGCTTCTGCTATGTATTTAGAGAGACTTGATCCAAAGAAGAATCTGCAATATTACTGATCTTGACCTGTCGTCTCAGCTTCAGTCATTTTCCCATCACCTTAATTTAGCTTCCCTGTGGTTTTTCTATAAATATTTTCATGGTAATTATTCTGATGCTCTTTCATACCTAGACTTTATGAATTTAAGTGCAGTACTAGATTGGCAGCAAGGTTTCATCATTTTACAATTTAAATGGCTAGATGTAATCATAAGTTCTATGCTAACAGTGGTTCTCTCTCGCACTTCTTACCTGTGGAACTCTCTTCTAGCTTCTCGTTTTCCAGTCAACTTTGATCTTCAAAAATGTAAATGCAATGGCAATAGTTATCAATAGTATGATAGAAGAAACTGTTAGCATAGAAGTTAGTTACTGCTAGCTCGTTCAACTGTAAAATGATGAGACTTTACTGCTAATCTAGTAAAGTGCTTAAATTCATAAAGTCTAGGTTGGAAAGTTCATTAGAATTACCATGAAAGTATTTATAAAAAAGGGCACAGGGAAGCTACATTACAGTGGTGGGAAATTATGAAACTAAGATGCCAGGTCAGGACCAATAAAGCTGCATATTTGTCCTTGATTTTATATATATATATATATATATATATATATATATATATATATATATATATATATATATATATATTTGGTTGGATAGATGTGAGTTTGTGACCCTGGGTTTCACACTTTAGTGATCGTCAGCGTGAAACCCAGGGTCACAAACTCACATCTATCCAACCAAATATGTTAGCTCTATCTCTGATATTGAGCGCTTTTAATAAGTACCACAAGATATAATATATAAATAATTATACATATATATATTTATTTATATTTATATACACTTTTCATATATATATATATATATATTGAGATTTGGACAGTGAAGTGGGAACAGTCTATCATGATAGATTAAATAAAGGGTTCAATTCAAAATTCCTTAAGATTGCTCAGATCAATATACACCTGAAGGCTGGAAGACATATTAGGCAAAATGTTATAACAACAACAACAACAAAGATGAGGATAATAGTTCACATGTAAATAATGATAATTCATCCCAGAAATTTGGACAGAAATCCTTACCTACAGTTGACAAATGAGCCCAGAACTATCAAAGCACCAAATACCATTACATTATGAAATTTTCCAAAGGGCACAGGGAAGCTACATTACAGTGGTGGGAAATTAAGTGAAACCAAGGTGCCAGGTCAGGACCAATAAAACTGCATATTTTTCCTTGGATTTTATCAAGAATCTATAAATACATAGCAGTATTGGTCTCATATGAGCAATATACAAAATTTATCTTGATTTCCTTACTAGTCATGATTCTTTAGAAGTTAAGAATTTGGTTAATTGAAGAATATATCAACACTTCAATATCTGCCTGTATTTCTGAGGTGAGGTAACTATTTGCACTATATATACATCGTTCGGACTGTTGTCCTCATCTTTATAAAGATGAGGACAATAGACCAAATGATGTAAATAGTGTAAATATATCAACTCTTGTTGGGTTACTTAATGTTAAATATATGCCGTATAGGATAAAAATCCCAAGGAATTAATATGCAGACGAATTTTTTTAATCATTTCACTGCAAGCAAGGCCATAATGCCACTAGAGAATGAGAAACCTGAAGTGAAGAGAAAGGACAACAAAAGAACAGAACTCAGAGAGACAGGAGATGGTGATTTACATTGCATTTAAACTTCTGAAAATTGTAGATGGCAGAGAAGCAAGAAATCAGAAGGGAGTTCCACAGGTGAGAAGTGCAAGAAAAGAAACAATTAGAATAGAACACATGCTTGTATCTAGCTTATTCAACAATAAAATGGGATGTTCAGTTTGCAGGAGAGTAAAAAGGTATACAAAAATCCAATTTACAAACTCAAAAATTTAGATATAATCAGGATTTTTTTTTCTTTTTAACAGTGAGGTTCACCCTTCACAAGGCCCAGGGGCCACACAAAGTAAAGGGTTACAAAGTAAGAGTTTCAGTTTATGTGTGTATATGGGGAAGATAACAGTTAACCCTAAACTTGAATGGGTTAAGATTCTAGTAATCAGGAAAACATTCTCATGCGACTCAGTTCCACAGAGCAGCAGTTTGCAGGAAGAAACTGCTCCATTTGAACTAACATCTCACCAATGGAATATGAACGGAATGAGGATGGTTTGCTACAATGTAAGTAGCATGATGGATCTTAGCCGTGTGAGTTAGACATGGTGGAACTAAGGAATGTAGTTGGTCTGGTCACTTTCCATGGAAATAGTGATAGAGCAATGAGACCCAAAGAAGGTGAGTTCAATACCTGGTTAAGGCAGTGGAGAACTTTCAGAGGGAAAATTAGCAGGAGATAACTGATAACTGACATC